TGAAAATATTTTCAATTTGCACTGTAACTACTTATTAGTTTTCCCTCACACATAAGGTAGCATGTCTTTAACACACACACAAGGGGAAGATACCAAAGTTTAGTACATTCAATTTCCTAGAAACAAAGAAACAAAAAAAGGCCCCACTGCCCACCCCCCCAATACACTATTTGAATATTAGCAAAGATAGAAATCCCTCAGGTACTGTACAAAGACAGCCAGGGACAGAGCATCCAGACTTTTATTACAATTCATCCCTTGCCTGACGCAAGACAAAGCTATGCAGTGATTCAAGGTCTCTCGTTCCGTTGTGTTCACTGACTTTCTTTCCACCTCGGAAAAGCAGAAGTGTAGGATAACCACGTACCTTCAAAAGACACACACACACAAAAAAGAAACTTGTTACTAATGTTCAGACTTGTATCCATCACTCATATTTACCTGACACTGAAAAGCCACTGAACGCCTCTAAAACAATAAGCCATTTTAATTTAAACAAAAACCCAAACCCACAGCAGAACTTGCAATGTCAACCTGTAATTCCTGAACATTTTTATGAGAATGGAATAATACATGTTCCTCTAGGCTCTTGGAATGGCAGCTCCAGCTCTGTCTTCCATTGTCTGCCTACCAGGACCCAAAGACTTTTTTTTCCTAGGAACCAAACTTTCCATCGGATACCACAAGACTGCCTTGGTGCTTTCAGAGAGAGAGGCTTCATAAATTAGGGACTTCCTCAGTTTTGTCCAATAATGAGAATGACCAAGTCTGAACAAACAGTTCACGAAAGAAACAGTGCCACCAGGTGCTGTTCTGAACTGCCTCTTTTTGGCTAACAGAGAACACAGCTGCACTGTCAGCAGGCACCTGGCACGCAGCAGCCAGCCCGGCTGCATGCTGGAGCCTCCAACATTTAGCACACAGTACTATCCCCTTCATTTCAGAGCTTTCACACTTACAGAAAATCTGTTGCAGACGTTACGTTCCACAGTGCAGTCTACTTCTGCTATTTTGACATCAGTCAAACCTGGAAATTGCTCTTTGGCAAGGTTCTCCCAAGTTGGAGCCAAGTTCTTACAGTGACCACACCTAGAAACAAAAGAGGGAGATTTGTTTAGCAGATAGACTTTCTAGTTTATCTCTACTGTCTTGCTGCAATTGCTTTAAGTTTAACTAGCTGCCCTTCCTATCCCCTAACGACTTGGCCCTCTGACTACCTTGTGCTATTATGTCAGTAAAATGAGCTAAGAAAACGAGTGATTTTATTTAAGTTAAGCACTGAAGTACTGGCCTTTGTTAGTCTTGCCTAGAACGGTATTCTAGATGTTGGTGCATTAACATTTTACTCCACAGAGGAATATGAAGCCAAATAAAGAGAAGCACAGAGAATATTTATCTGGGGGAGGGGGGAAAGATCTCTTTGAAACAAGCATGCTTTTAGGAAGGCACAGAATGTCTCTAGTACAACTTGTTTTCAGGTAGCATATGCCAGTTATGCGAAAGCTACATAGCCTGAGTATAATTATTTAAATGACATTTTAATTTCCCTATTAAATTTCTTTCAGTTCCTAATGGCCTCCTTGACCAACGTATAGTAAAGTATTCATTTTGTTTATATTTTGAACTTGGCTTAGCCAAGTTCTTAATGTGAACTTCTTACTGCCTTCAAGAAGAATTCCCAAAGCACTTTAGACTTTAAAGCTGCATTGCTCATTCTGTTCTAACCCAGCTGCACCTTAATTGGGTTATTAAAACAGCCCCATAATTGCCTCGAGGTTGGATCAGGGCATTTACAAAAATAATGAAAGATGTCTCAGCAAAAGTTTTCTTAATGCAAGCCAGTGTATATTTAAACCACCTTGGTTAATACACAGTGACAGTAAAAAGCATTTCTGACCATACACAAAAACTACTAGAACAGAATGATTTTATGCTTACTATGCAAGTTAACATTAATATTTATCCAAAACTAACTGAGAGACAGAACTAGCAAGCAACATAGTAGTGTTTGCTGAGCCCTGCATAAGTTATCTGCTTGGAAGAGAATAAGGTCATTTATATGCAGAGCACTACAACTGTATACATAAGCTTGACTTTCAGAGCTAAAACTAAGATACCAGCTACATAAATATAGGAAGTATTTTCCTAAATGGTGGCTTTCTCAGCATTGCAGCCAGGGAGCACACACTGGGTTAAGAACTTGACTCTACGTCCTGAACCACTGTTTCTCAGCCTGCCATCCAACACTGCTCCTATCTGTGAGATCCAGCAGCACCACATGAGAATCTCACGAGACGAGGAGATGGTATTATTAATAAAAGCTAATTGAAAAGGGAGTACTTCTTTATCTCACACTTTTCCAGAAAAAGTTGCTCAGATAATGAACTCCTAGATAGGCCAACCAGCCGTGGGTTCAGAAATCAGACTGGGAGCTGCTTTGTGCACAGGTGTGAACTCAATTTACCAGCCAGCTCTGCTGGTGGCGCAGTAGCAGCACAGACAGATTAAATCTCAGTCCCCAGCAGAGCACAGAGGGGATAAAGGGAGTGAGGAAAGAGCAGCAAATGTGACGGAATGTGTGTGGTATGGGTAGGGAATTTCTTAACCCGGTGGTGGCAGATCCACAAGCAGACCTTTCAGGTAGAAGAGCAGAGAAGTGGCTCTCAAGCAGCAAACTACACTATGGTGAAAAGGGAACACTGGAAAAGCCTGTATAATTGAGATTACATAAAATGAAATGTTCCCTGGTACTTCTTGCTCATGGTAAGAAACACATTCATGCCTACTGTCAAGAGTTAAGCTGCAATAGTTTGATATGCCCGGGCACATTTAAATGTGGTTGTATTTGCTTGTGTTGCTTTATAATGGGGCCTGTTACCACCCCAAACAAAAGATCTTTTTACATTTTATATACTGCACTAATGGGACAGCTAGTGATGAAATCAGAGATGTGTCATCTTTCACACAGTGAAATACATCTTAATTTTAATCTCTCCCCCTACACTAGGCTTCCTTCTATTGGCTAAGAGATCAGGCAATGGATGAGCAAGATGGAATGCAAGTTCCATTAAATTCAATGGAGGCACAAATAAGAGGAATTCTATAAACAGAGAGAGAACTGTGAAACTTTCTTTTTCTCCCAGAAAGGGTATAGTAAGAAAAAGAGTTTGTAATACTGAGACCTTACTCCAGCTGGAATCCCAGGCTCTGCTGGATATACCAGTAATGGCAGATGCCAGATAGGACATCCAGTGCCTTCCAGAGTGTCTACACCTACACCATCTGCACTGGACACCCAAGATAGCTTGGGTGACTGTAAGAACATATTATATGAACATACACTCTTAAGATCATCTTAAAATTGTCACTTGTGCAAATTAGTTTTTTGATAGTTACTGGAAGAGGAACAGCCAATTATCTGTAGGTCTACAGTCTGTATCAATTCTCAGGTGCTCAAATAAGGCTTCCATGAGGTTGTGGCAGGAGAGACTCCAAAGGCCTTTCTCAACTCTGGTGATATTCTCCCCTCAGCTTACCCTACTCAAGGGATAGGAGCATGCTAAACCTGCAAAGGAAGCTTCACTCTCCTTGTTCCCCAGCATCACCTGCAGGCTTCTCTGTCAGTGTTTCCACAGAGAGGCATCCCCAAGATAGCTGAACCAGATGGAGATTCCTTGCTCAAACTTTTGCCAACACACACATTCTTCAGTTAATTCACGGTTTAGATCCAGACTAGAAATAGAGTACATACAACTCAAAGACCTACAGCAACTAAAGCACTCACACCTTAGACCAGCAATAATCCTGAACAACAACAGGTGCAAACTTCTTACCATGGAGCGTAGAATTTAATAAACGTAATCCCCCTAGCAATGGTTGCATCAAAGTCTTTTTCAGAGAGAGAGAGCACTGCAGCCTGCTCAAAAAAAAAGAAAAAAAAAAAGAAAAAGGGGGGGGGGAAATGTGAAAACTTTTTGTATATACAACATCAGCCAATTGAAATTTTATCTACCTAAAAGGAAAACTGAAACTGGAAAAGATAATATCATTGGATATATAAACAAGAATAGCAGCAAACTTCACTTTTACCTCTCAGCTACTTTCCTCCTCTAGAGAGATGTAGAGAAGAGTATTTAGCCCTGAATCTCATCTATAACTGGAGAAACAGAAGTTCCCTATTTTCAGAGGATTCTCCTGAATCCAAGTTTTCAGTTGTAAAAAACCCACCTTAATTTTAATACACTCTGTTTCAAGGAACTGCCCTTAGAGGAGTTGGCTTCAAGCACACAATGGCCATCCGAGATTCTAATGAGGTATTCAAGGCACACTAGTGGTGTCTCAACAGCTGTTCCCCATCCACTATATCCCTGCATTGCATACACAGAAAAAAACCCAGAAACACAGATTTGCCTGTCAAGAAGACATCATAGCACCACACCTGCATGAATGCCAGGAAAAAGTTTTACTCTTTATAACATTGAGAGCAGGGGAATATTGGGAGGATAGCACATTGCTTTATAGTCTCATGTAAGAGTTGAACTGAAACTTCATTTTTTGTGTGAGACCCTTGAGGGTGGAAGGGATTAAAAAAAATAAATCTCATGCCTATAAAAGCTTCAAATTCAAATGAAAGCAAAATAAAACCAAGATCACAACTGACAGTATTATTAATTCTACTTTAAACCTGGTAAGTTTTATGAAGCCAAAAGAAATTTGAAATTACAAATTATGCAGTACCTTTAAATATTTCTGTAAATTACTGTTAGTTCATGAAATTATTTCATTAAGCTGAAGTGTTATTACCTCTAAAGAATTATTTACAAATTAGAAATTATATTTTCTCATTATTAAATAATTACAAGTAATTACATGAAGCAAAAAGTGAGCAGCTAGCCTGAATTTTCTAAATGGATATTTGAAAATTATGTTCCAAACGTAACTTACAATTTCAGATATGAAATTTTAAAACCCGTAAGTAACATCTTCCCCATGATTCTCACAGTAAAACAAGTTTTAAACATCTGTAGATCACTATCAGAATAGCAATGTGAACTATATCACCAAAAAATTAGTATCAGCCCAATTTTAGCTTGGTTTATTAAAAAAAAAAAAAAAAAAAAAAAAAGAAAAAGACATCTTATGCAATCACATAACCTGAGCATCTGCTGGTCACACTACCTTAATGCACCTGGATCATTTTCAAGTGATTTTAGCAATGTTTGGCAGGAGGGAAGTCTCACAGACATAAAAGTAGAGCTTCTGTAAAAGGGCTTGCAAACACTTGGCCTGTGTAAGACATGGGGGAATCTATGTAGGAGCTCGAGACTGAGACACAAATTTGGAGTCATTGCTTTTGCTGCCTGTGGTACCAGCTGTGGTGAGCTGATGGAAAATGCAGTCAACGTGTGCTGGCTACATGAGCTGGACCCTTCTATCAAAATTCATGGAAACAACGCCAGAATCCAGGGGTCTGAAGATGAGCAACCAAGCAGTTGTGGCATCCAAAGCTGTGATGTAAAGTTTTAAAGACAAGCTGAATCCTGCACTGTGTCTACTATTTCTTGGTGAAAAAAAATCCCCCTATAATCACTTCCTGTTTGTGTGTGTGCTGTTAAAAGCAAGGCATAAGTGGGAATTCACATCACATGTGCTTTGTGTTATTTCTATAAAAATAGAAAGACAAATAATTACTTTCTGCATTGTACTAACATCAGCTTGTTAGGATTTTCCAAACATGAGGTCAATTTTAAAAAAAATAAAAATTGAAGGGTATGAAAATTGCAAACCTATTTGGTCTATAATGTTTGGTAAGCCACTTTAAGAAAGATGGGTAATGCTGCTGGAAAAGTGCACTGGGAAAGGTAATATTCTCCTGTGTGAAGCTGCATATAAACTGTATTTATATTAATAATGTTGATGCTTAATTACCTAAATTCATTCTCTATCACAAGGGAGTGTAAATCCCCATCCCTTATTTTCTCAGCAGAAAGTATGTTTTCCACATTTCATGAAAAATTATGCTTGAAAACCATCTCTAAATAATCAGCCTCACCAATTTTTTATATATCTCCAAGAAAAATGGCAGATGAAATTAGGGGATTAGAAAAGATAAAAAATTAGGGGATTAGAAAAGATAAAAACTAAATGACATGAAGTACAACTGCAGAAAGGTTATTCCTGCCAATTCCTTGGCAGGAGCCTGTACCTCTTACAACCAGGACTAGAATAAGTCTCCAAACCCAAAGAGTTTTCTTGTCACAGGACACATTACAATGTCTAGACTGGTCTTCATAATCTTTGCTTGTTCACTATTTCTGCAGACAGTCTCTAAGTATAAGACCCTGTCTTTTTTTTTAAGGGCTTAGCAGCATGAACCGTCCTTCTGGGTTCAAGTGAGAATCTCGCAAGAAATGTTCATCTCTACTGTAATGAAATATGCTGTCATACAGATTCAGCTGCCAGCAGTTCCATGGACCAAAAAGCCCACATTTATGCCACCCTATCGAAAGAATTTATTGCAACCATAAAAAGGAGCCAGATTTTTTTCCCCCCCTTCTCCAATTCATCAGGTTAGTAAAAGTATCACTAGGATTTATGATCTGATCCCACTCGTTAATTACTAAAAAAATAACCAGGAAAGTATTTGGTACAGTTTACTTCAGAAACTGTCCAGCTATCAGAGAGAGAAAAACACATGGAACACTCAGGCAGGATGCCAAAACAGTCTGAACACTTAACGTCGCTGCAGAGTGCAGGAGCACTTACCTCAGCATGGATGGGTTCTGCAGGTGGCTGTGGGGCTTCAGCAGGTTTATCTACTGGTGGCTCTTTCCCAGAGCTCTGTAGTTGGGAATCCACATATTCCTTTAAGGAATCGAAGTCCCTCTTCCCTTTGTACTGGTCACCCTGCAATTACAAAAAATTTGTGCAACTGTGTATATCCAGTTAATCTAGCAAATAAATAATTCCCAGAAAACCATAAGATTTCCAAGTGTAAGCATATTAGTAATAAATACAATTATCTAGTTCTTAAACCTCTCCATGACATTCCACTCAATCCATGCCTTTGGGTTTTGTCATAGATTCTTCTGTACTAAAAGGGAACAATCTAAAATTTCCATGAAATGAAAGGTATATTAGAAACGTAGAAGCAAATTTTGAAACTTTTCCACTTTGACTTTCTTCTCTCACTCTAGTCAGCCTTTTCAAGGTTTTACTTTTTTGAAACTAAAACTACTGCAAGGAACAACAAAATACCCATTGCTGTTTGGTGATCATCAGAGCTCTGCCCAGTGCTTTGACAGGGCTGAAAACCTTAACTTGCATGTCATTGGACTACATGCTCTGGCCTACACACTTGTCACACACCCTCAGAAAACCCAAATGGTAAGGCAATGTGCAACTTTGGGTGCCTAAGTCCACCTGAGAGCACGATACAACAGCTGCCTGCTGCAGGGCAAACATTTCCAACAGCACCACTCAGGAAAGTTAAGTCCTATTTTTTAACCTGCACATAAAGCAGTCAACCAGTCAGATCTTTGGGAGGTCACCACTTGCCTTAGATGCCTCCTCATATTTCAGGTACTTTCACAACTCTGGAGAACAAGAAATCAGAACACTTCTGAGCAGCCACCATGTTTGATTTGAGCCCTCCCTCAGCTTCTAATTCTGCTTCTGACATGTGCCAGGCACTGCTGCTCAAGAGGTAACAAGTCCACGTACTACTTATGTGAATCAGGTTGGGATTAAAAAATGCAAGTGCTGCTTCATTTAAATTCCCTAGACTGTCTTATCTTATAGGGATGCTTATATCCAACTTGACATGCACTGTATTTATGGCCAGTTTCTCTTTAGAGTGACAGAAAATTGCCGTAAGCAATGGCCACTAAGATGGATTGAGCAGCAAAACTTACTTCTCTGACACTGTAGATATTCAGAAAGGAATGCAAGATGAATGAGACAAAAGCCCAAAACCCCCACAAAACTTAGCAGGTAAGAGCTAGAAGTGTAGCCCTGGGTTCTCTTGCAGATCTGTTTTAAACATCCACTTAATACTTTTAATTAATCTTGGGATTGTGAAATATATTCTAAATAACACTTATTTACTTATAAATACTCTTATTTACTGCTGTTCATATACATGGTATTTATAAGTATTTTATTTCCCCGTAACTTCAGAATATTCTAGTTCTTTGAATTGCTGCAAGAAAAAATGTCTACTGAGCTGACAGGAATCTCACCTGCAGTATCATATAAAGTGTTATAAGAAGGAAAATGTGCATCTCTAGACATCCCTCAGCAGATGGGCACCACTTACAGATGAGAACCTTCCAATAAACATTGTGAAAATCACATACTTTATTATTTATGTTCCACAGGAAGTAAAGTATTAAGATAAAGTAAACCCAGAATTCTCTCACACAGTAGGATGACTGGAGATACTGCTTGCAGATTTAGGAATATCATACCAATTGTTTCCAGAACACAGAGCAAAAAAACTTTTATCTATGGACAAAGTCTACTCTTCCAGTACCCAAGTGAACCTCCAACACCTTTTCTCTCACAAGTAGACTTTTGTACATGCCCACTTGATTGTTTTATTTCCAGAATGCAGGCACAGTCCAAGTATTATTCAGGAAAAAATGGTCTGATCTTTTGCTGACTTGCAGACTCACCTTTTCACCATTCCTAAACCAGAGGAGTGTGGGATAACCACGAACTTGGGTTTCAGAGCAGACTTCATAATGCTGGGTACAGTCGACCTACATTTTGGGAAAAAAGACCCAAAACTATTCAGTGCCTAAAACAATCATACAACAAACATCACAGCCTCCCTTGTTCAAAACTCAGCAAAATACCCGAACAAGCAATACATGACCTGGCAAAACTCAGTACCAAGTACTGTCTTGAGAATGATTATGTTGCCTTCCAAACAGTGGTTTGGTTGTATAATTGGGAGGATGTGTGTGCATGTGTTTGATTTATTTGACAGTTTTTTTTAAGGAGGAGGGATCAGGGAGGGAGGTACAGCTAGAAGGAAGTAGCAGCAGTTACAAAGAACAATGAAGACATAATTAAATATTTCAATTAAAAAGCACTTGGTATTCTCAGCTAATAAAATTATTGCATGGACAATAAGACACAAAATGCTACTGTGAGAGAGCTTTAAAGTGAAGACATATTGGCTCATCCATTTTTTAAAAGACTACTCCTTAAAAACTTCAGAAGACATGTCAACAGCTAGCAAGCTAACTTTGCTCCAAGTGCATAGCAACATTTAATTCTAATATGTCATAAACCAATCTGCAAAGTTAATAGTTTATAATCTTTTTTGAAGCAGAAAAAAAATAACTTAAGCATTGGAGCCTTTGCTCAACATAGCACTTGTATCTTGACTTTGCTCCAGATCACTGAAGATCAATTCTAAAGATCAAACAATGTTAAGACACTATTCACCCTGATTAGATGAAGGTCATGGTTCAACCTTCTTAGAAACAGTTGTGTTTCCTGTTTACTCACAGACTTATAATCTTAGCCAAGACATGTTTCAAATAGTTTCACAAGATTGTCTAGACATCAAGACAAATCTTAGTGGCTGTATGAAATAGCAACTCCCTGTAATACAAACTGCGAACATGACAGACAAATGAGTAGAACAGAAACTTTGGAAAATTTTGTTGATTTTTTTCTCTTGGTACCAGAGAATGGGAGCTTCAAAAAGATACTTAAGCTAAGCAATGATTTCATAAGACAAGAAGCAAGGGTCTCAAAAATTACAGACAGCAGTAAAGGAGTAATAATCTCTGGTATTTTAATCTCGGAATCTAATTTTATATCCACCACATCTCAAAATTATATATATATGTACGTCTCTCTAGCGTTCAACTATGCTGACCTGCTCTGTACATCTACAGTGTACCCAAATTAGCAGATTTTAAAAACTATTACAAATAAAAATAACTTAAAAAAAAAAGAACAAAATAAGTCAAGCTCATCACCCCCAATGCAGTTGAAAGTGCTATGAGGGCAGAGGCAGGGGAGACAGCAGAGGGACAGTCCCTCTGCAGGACTGACAACACTGCTGGTGTGCAGTCTTTCAGATCACTATGAAAACTTAAGGACATGGAAGTTGAGCCCGGTTAGATTTCCACTGCTAGCAAATACAGAGGGATTTGCATCATGAGCCACCTGGACTTAGGTATGGGTCAGCAAATAAAGCCAGTAACTGCAATTGCCAGACCAACTCCATACCTCTGTAGAGAAGTCACTCCACGTACAAGTAAAAAGCTCCCATGGTAAATACACCACAGAACCTGGTTATCAACCCTAAGGGAAATAGTAAAGCAGGACAAGATATCAATTTTTAAGGTGTAAGACCCTCTGAAACCTTTAAAAAGTTTTATGGGGGTAAACAGGAAAAAAACCCCAAAACAACCAAGAAGTAACTCATCATAAGGAGCCCAGTAGGGCTAAAGCTTGCTAAGGAATCCAGTGCTGTAAAGAACAAATTAGAAGTCACTTTCCCACTCAAAATAAATACTGAAGTCTATCAAGTTCTGACAAAGCAAACACATGTATCAGACTTACTTCCAGCTCTCTCTGAAACAGAGAGTTAGCTGTGTTTGTAACAAGTCCTTGCTTAAAATGAGGGAGTCCTGTCAACTGTGGATATGTGAGGAAAAAATAACCATCTCAAAATTAAAATAGAAACTATGACTATAAAAGGACTTAAAAGGTGACAAACAAAGCCATTGTTATTTCTGAATCATAGCACAAAAAGTGTGATACTTGGCCAAAACATTCATTGACACAACACACTTTCAGACTATGACTGCTTTACCCACCTTGCCAATCTTGACAGTTTCTGAATGCTCAAAGGCTTGAGCCAGCTGTTCCCAGGTTGGGGCCAAAGCCTTGCAGTGACCACACCAAGGGGCAAAGAATTTGATAAAGTGATTACCTTTTAAGTCAAAGAAAAAAAAATAAAAAAGATTTAACTCCTTTGGAATGAACTTGGCTGCAATTAAAGACTAGGTAGTAATCTCAGGCTGCAAATTTATCATGGTATTTCCTGAGTTAGAGATAGGAAATGCTGTGAATCAAAGGCCAGGACAAAATACTTCAGCAATTAGGTTTTCAATACTGCATGCAGTTGCACAGCATTGCCAAATTTCCTGAAAATCCAAACAGCTTCACAAACTCATGGCAACAAATGAGATATTAAATGCGATATTTTTAACCTAACCATCTACCTCAGTGTCTAATTCTACCATGCCAATCACCCTGTTACAGAGAAGAAAGAACTACCAAGGAACACGTATTTATAATGGCATAAATGAAAGTATTAGACTCAACTTAGTGCAGTGGTGTGTCCTAAGAAATGCTTGTCCATGAACTACATAAAAAAATTTGTTCAGTTCTCCATTCTCCTTTTTCTGCCCTGCTTTTTTTATTTTCATGACAAATATTCAGAAATCACTGCCTTCAGAAGATTATTGTGGTGTTCTATACAGTCTCTGTGCTACCTCCTACTAATGTTGAGTTTAAAATATAATACTAATTGCAAAGTACCAGAATATGTAATTTCCTTCAATTAAGATTAATTCATTCAAAATGCTGCCCATTTTTGCATGCATCAAGGCAAGGCTCTGCTAAAACAAAATAAAAATGAACCTAATTAAAACAAGGAAAACACACCCAATTGACTTGAAGGAAACACCAGAAACTGGAGAAAAGCTCTTTTTAACAGAATTATTCATAATCCTTTGAAGATTGCTTTGGGGCTGATGTTACTTGAATTCATTTCTAGTTTAAGGGCTTGTCCACGGAGGGAGGTCAGAGGAAAGAAACCACAAAGAAACCAGGAAATGTAAGCTGCAGTAGTAGTGTACTCTAACTTGACTGATCTGCACGTGGAAGACTTTCAAAGTGATTGACATGCTCTGCTTTGGTCAACTGCAAACCGAATTAATAAGAACATCTAGTCAAAATCAGCTATTCTATACCACATAGTCTGATATACTCTGTCCAATAATTTATTTTTGTCCTAGAGCAGGAAAAAGGTAAAAGGAGACCTTGAACAGTTTTAAGTCAAAAGAAGATGTTTCAGAACAAAAGACAACCTTGCAGGTGTAACTGCTAAGCCTCCTGTTAAATTTAAGCACTGAACTTCTTTTAACTGAAGTCAAGAGAGGACAACAGAGTGACAGACGATCATAAACCTGTTCAACCATCAGATATGACCATAAGAATGTCTCCTCTATGAAGGCAAATGGATACGTAATAAAAATATTACAGTAAAAATATGAAAACATTTATACATACACTGACCTTTACAGTCTGAGAAGATAGTTAAATTGATAAATGCTTAACATTTCCCTGATGGCTTAGAGGAAAATCCATTAAGAATTCTGATTTAATTCTGAGAAATGTGAAGTTAGCTGCACAAAATGCTCTTTTACAATTGAAAATATTGCTAATCAGTTAATGGTTACTTTAAGAAGCTCTAGTATCTACCTCACTAGTGATATCAGATGGGCACAGACATTTAATTTAGTCCAGCCTATGTTTTCTGGATAATAGAGATAGTAGGATCACCTGTTGTCATGCCAGCCCAAAGTTTGTATTGCATGATTTTGCTCATTCTCTAAAAAATCCACCATGTGGGGGGTGAAATTTCCCGTATTAGGCATCGCTCCTGGCATTAATTTTAAAGTTTCCAGACAAACTATTTTTCAAAATGGCCAAACAGGTGAAGTGTTTTGCCGAAATTAAATTTGGGAGGAAGGAAGCTAAACAATATCAAATAAAGGGCCAGACTGGAGTGGGATGGGGGATGTAAGGAGGAAGTGGGTGAATTATACTCATCCAGAATAACAGCCTGGGAGGAAGAACAAGGCAGCACCTAGGCAAGGAGGAAACAGGACTTGCAAAAACACAAAGTGAGTGGCGAGGCTGTGACTGAGTGAGGAACTCAGGAGAAGAAACAGTTTAGTGGAGCAAGCCCCACAAGCTTCTTCCCTGTGATTAGGGACCTTAACTTTATTCTAAGCGGAGTGCCATACTTAAACTTTCTCATGGTGGTCAATATGTAATTAAACTTCTGCATTTTTACACAGGTTCTACTTTCATTCTCTTTCACTAAGTATTACTGGAAAATAAAAGTGCCAAGGAGGTACCTTGAAAACTAACATTACTGATGCAGACTTCCCACAACTAATGTCTCTGTAGGGAAGTTTCTCTTCTTATGAAAAAAACCAGTTACCTTCTGCTATGTGCATCTTGAAATTGTCTGTGGAGAGTTCATACATTCCCTGCTTAGGTTCAGGGGCTTTTGGTGGTTCCACATCAGATTCCTGATCCTATTCATGAAAAAAAAAACCCAACTTTTAATTATCTTGTACAGTGAATATACAACATTTCATTCCTATATCACACCATTCTGTGATAGTATTGTAGACTCTGCACTCTGAAATTTTAAATTCCCAAAGCAATGTCCTTATATAGCTTGATTTAGGTATCTAATGTTTCCTAACAAACAAGTACTTTGAAAGCAAATTGTGAAAAAGATTGCCACACAGAAAAGAGCTATCACAGTCAGTGGAATAACAACCTTTCACTGTGCTGTAGTGCAGTCACAGAGCACAGTAATTGCTATGGCATTCATTGCATCACCATATATTAATACACTTAAATTACATAACAGTTCCTCCATAGCATCACACCAGTTTCAGTGGTCTTTGGCCTATTTAAAAATAGCTAGTGCGAAAGCTATTTCCTGCTCTCCTAATGCCAGAAGGAATGCTGTCCACCTAATGGCTCTGTGAAGACAGCAACAATAAAAATAGAGCAAATATTCATGCATATAGAATCATAGAATTTTTAAAGGCTGAAATGGACCTTACAGATCATCTAGTCTCAATGGCCCCTGCCATGGGCAGGGACACCTCCCACCAGACCAGGATGCTCAAGGCCTTTTCCATCCTGGCTTTGAACACTGCCAGGGTTGGGGCAGCCACTACTTCCCTAGGCAACCTGTTCCAATGTCTCACCACCCTCACAGGAAAAAACTTTTTCCCAATATCTAACCTAAATTTTCCCTCTTTCAATTTGTACCCATTCCCCCTTGTCCTGTCACTGCAGCCCCTAACCAAGAGGCTTCCCTTGTAGGTCCTTCAGATACTGGGCGGTTGCTATGAGGTCTCCATGCAACCTTCTCTTCTCCAGGCTGAACAGCCCCAACTTCCTCAGCCTTGCAGTAAACTCATTGGCACTTCAACAAAGCAAGTGAATACTTTCCAGGTACTAGGGCTAGAGCTAGAAAGAGTTTTTAAGAACCTCAAAGTACATTTCTTAAAATAGTTGAGCATTTCATGTCTACTTATTAAAAAATACCATGTTTGTTTAAATATAATCACACTCTAACTGTGGTGCAGCAATCACTAAAGCTTTACCTTGATTACAAACAGCAATCACTAATTTAATTTTAGGCAAGGCTTGGCTACTATGTGTGAATGTTACCCCTAATCTCACAGGTTTTCTTAGTGATGTTATTAGTTTATCTTACTTAACTGATTATTTTAAACCCATTCTTTAGGCCACAACGTTATCAGGTAGTAACTGAGCTAAAGATGGCATCCGTGTTTTAAGAGGCAATTAAGCCCAACACAAATGCGATTTATAACGTATTAGAGCTAAAATGTGTTTCTTGTTCTAGAGACATTATGGCCTACAGGTGTCAACTGAACCGACACCAAGAATTGTATCTTAAAATGTCAAAATGATAAACACTAAAACTGCATTATGTACTGTCATTTTAAATACAGGAAAGAGAGAGCAGGTCATAGGATGACAGTTTTAATTTCTTCTCGACTTACGTGTAAGCTGTCTCACATTGATATTGCAACCTAACTTTTATTCTCAGGAGCAGATTTCCTCCTGGAAAAAGAAACGTAACTTAAAGAAGCAATAGATAAGCAAGTCTGCAGATGATTTCCTTTTCACTTACAGGTGGTTCCTCATTTAGTTTCTCCAACATCCAGTTTTCCAGTGCCTGGAAGTCCCTAGGGCCTTGGTACTTCAGAGGTTCTTGTCCTGGTTTAAGCAGCTTTAGGCTAAAGGATCAAAATGTAGGAAAGAGAAGAGTGAGACTTTTCACACAGGAAACATCCACAGCAAGCTAACATGCTTTGCTAATCCACAGCAGTGCAGCTGAGGCTGCGGTAACAGATCTCTTGGCTATTAACATCAGCATCAGGCATCTCCCTCAGCTTAAAGGGTCACGGCTAGAACTCAGGACACTTTTTCATTCCAGTGTAAGCTTTTAAAGGAGAAAAAACAGCAAAAGCAAAATACCATGTTAAAAACATCCACAGCAAGCTAACATGCTTTGCTAATCCACAGCAGTGCAGCTGAGGCTGCGGTAACAGATCTCTTGGCTATTAACATCAGCATCAGGCATCTCCCTCAGCTTAAAGGGTCACGGCTAGAACTCAGGACACTTTTTCATTCCAGTGTAAGCTTTTAAAGGAGAAAAAACAGCAAAAGCAAAATACCATGTTAAAAATCAACACAGCCTAGTAGTACTTTGACCAATAAACAAGAGCAAATTACAAATTGTAGCATTCAGTTCTGTGTATGCTATTTCAGTTTGTCAAAAAGCATCAATTTTGTTTTGCTCATCTCTCCTTTGCCAAAGGAAGAATATCCAGTGCTCATTTTCCCAGAAATTTCTTTCCCACCTTTCATTCCCTGACTGCTCTTGAAATGTGGGACTTTTCATGTGGTATTAAACTGATTAAAATCACACTGAAACAAATCAATAGGACAAGGAGATAAATGACTGCTTGCAGAGATTCAGACTTCAATATTATAACATTTAATAACTGCTATCAAACCTTTCCCATAAACTACCTAAAGCTCCTACTATTACATATTTAAGTTAAAACTGGAAATATATTTGATAAAAGGGTAATACTGAATTCTGGCCTAGTATTACTTTGTAAAGCAAATCAGACTTGGAATTACTACTGTCACCTAGCCCTCAGTACCCCTTGCCAAGCTGTCATTCTGTACTGCCTCCTTTGTTTCTTGAAGTGTTTTTCTGTCTCTTCTTGTTCCACAGTTGGAAAAAATGAACATATGAAAGTGTCAAAAAACCACATAATGCAAATACATTCAAAAGAGACAAGAGCTCCCACTGACATTTCTATTTAGGGTATTCTTGAATGTTCCTTGTGATGACAGAAAGTCAAAATAATAATGAAACAAAAATGAAACAGAAGAACATCTAAAACACACCTCATGGCAATACTTTTGAAAAGTAACAAAGAAATAAAAGAATCAGCTTAAAAAACTAGTTGTACCTTTATTTTCTTCAAACAAAGGTAAGTTTTCTCTAGTTCAGTAGAGACAGTATTTATTTTGCAGCACCAAATAATCCTGAGACAACTGTACTAATGAGTGCAGGGACCTGCTCAGCCAGTTTGACTCTCAGGGGGATGAAAAGGGGATGCAGCCTTTCCTTTGACAGGTGTTTGGAAAAGCAGTGTAGGGATCAGCACATCCTGGACTTGTGACAATACCTCCGTGCCTGAGGAAGCTGTGAAATTCCCCTGGCTGGAGGTTTTTAAAAACAGACTAGTTAAAAACTGACTCAACAGAAAGAGAGTTGATATGATGAATTCCCCTTCATCTCTATATTTCTATAACTAGCAGTTGACTGCCTTATTATTTATACTTTTCAAGTAGATGAAAGTAAGCAGTAACTATTCCTAGATATTTAGTGACATTAAAGAGAAGGAAGGGGGAAAAAAAGCAGGAGTTATACATCCATTGATTTTTTTCCTTAGGTCAAAGCCTCTGCCACTCTCCCTATTTTACAAGGAACAGCACCACAATATAATCTATTCAAATATGCAAAGACAACCAGTGCTCACTTTAGGAGATATTAAAATAGACCTGCAATATTCATTATTTCTTGGTATTTCTAGTGGAACTAAGCCACAAACTGCCCTTAAGGACAATTCCTATCTCAACAAGGACTAATCTATTTATAACTCTCAACCTCCACTCAGCCGCACTCATCTGTGTCCAAGTGGGTGCAGCCAGGAGTGTATGAGTTCAGGCTGCTACTGGGGTTGGCAAAAACACTACACAAAGTGAGCAAAGGGAAGGAAACTGAAAAGTACAGGCTGTGGAAGGGCTAGAGAGGATTGCATTCTCCACTTATTCCCACTAAGATGAGCAATTAATAAAGCAGTTGAAAGGATCCCATCCATGTTTGCAAGAAGCTTTAAATAAGACACAAGTGAAAAAAATCCCTTTGCTCCTTTTTGGCAGCTAAGAAGGGAACACACATATCTAATCCACAAGCACTGACCTCTCATAGATACTCTAGACCACTTTTTGCCCACTGAACCTGAGGTAGTAAGGCATACATCCTTTTTAACAGGATAAGCATAACAACCTTAAAATATAAATTATTTGTGTCTAGACCAATATAAGCAAACTTACCCAGAAAAAGTCTGTACAACATCACCACTGCTATGCTAAGTGATACTATTTGTCATTTTATGAGCACCAAGTTCACTAAAAATCTAAGAGATCACCTATACATTAATTATGAAAGGTGCAGTGTACTGACAAACTTGTGACAAGTTATTTTTAAAGTGCTGTTACCAGAAACCAGCTCTATCATGCATATCACAGCTGTATAATGTACTGTTGCTTGAAAAAGAGGTACTCCCAGAGAAAAGAAAAGTACAATTCCGGACTTCATTTAAACATAGCCATCTTCCAAGACATAAAACAGTTTCTTGAAAAAAAATAAGAGAGTAAGAGTAGCCTGTATCACATGATATTTGGCAACATGGTAAAAAGGCTTAAAATGAACATCGCAGGTCCAAAAGGCTCCCGAGAAACCCACCAAAAATATAACTGAGAAGCTAGTTTCAAGAAATTGGCAGAGGATCATGGAAAACTCAAAAAGAAAAATGGGAGCAGACATCCTTTTATACTTACGTGGGGTATCCCCGTACGCCAAATTCAGAGCACAGTGGAATATCTACAGTACAATCCACTTTAACAACATAGACCTCTGGTTTTTCCATGTTGTTGTATTTATCTCCCAAATCGTTCCAAGTTGGCTGGAGACGCTGACAATGTCCACACCTGTGACAGAAGGAAGGAACAAGATATTGCTTAGCAGCGACTCAACATTTAGAGGGGAATGAATCTATAGAGAAGTCATACACAGAATGGCAAGAGATTCTGATAAATTTAAGAACAAATTTTTAAATCAGAAGTCTTCCACACTTCCACACTTAAGCACTTAAGCAACCATGAATACTATGAAGAACTGTGGCATGTTGCAAATACGTCTCATGTAAAAACCATCAAGATTTGAGAACTTCTTGACCCTATCTTTTTACATTAAAAATGCCATGAACCCCTGAACTTAGTGGGGTTATTAACAAAAGTCAGTCTTCCAGCTTTCTAGAAAGATCCTGCAAGGCTGTCCAGCTCTTTCCACTATAACATTTCAAAACACTAGATATTTCAACAGTAGGTAGAAAATAGAATGGTTTCTGGCCTCTTTGTAAGGCCACTTGCTAGTCAAGAAACACATCAAGACTAATTTCTGAACTGGGTTTCTCAAAATCCTCCCATTGCGTGCTCTGCCCCAGCAGCACACCATCAATTATTTCTATCTGCATGCACACAGAAACTAGCCTCATACAGTTACTACATCATCTCCTCCACAGAAGCAGAAAATGGCTACTACTCTTCTCACTGTTTTCCCAGTCTTTCAAGTCATTATAGCAATACCCTAATCCTGTAGCTACAACGCAGAATTTTAAGGAACGGATTTTCATTTCTCTTTAATGGCTGCTTCTGCCAATCCTCCAAGTAAAAATAGAGAAAACATTCCCAAACTGACAGTATGAAAGCTGTTATTGCTCGGCATGACCTCGACCGCCTACTTTGAAAGTAACAATTAAATGTCATTAGGACTTTGGAGAAAGTTCCTCCCACTTAAAATAGTTTCAGTGATACAAATGGTTTTGAGTACACTTGTAGAAAAGTTGCATGGATTCACACCTTTCCAGGTATACTGATATCATTAAGAGAAAACAAAAATCCCAAAATAAAAACCTTGATATTTAAGATAAAGAATGTTTTCTGATCTTAATAAAGTCCTGTTACAGTCAGACGCAGTGGGTCACACATACTCCCACATTCTGTGATTCTGTGCGGGGGAATACAAACTCCCATGTGATCTCATCCTGAACTGTCATGCTGAAGGGATACAATGTATTCTTATTAAAATAAAATATTCCTTAAATATTTAATGTTCAACCTAAGTCCCACCATAGTCAACTCTTTCATGAAGCTTGAATTTACAGGAGGATTTTGGAGCCCTTTCCTCTAACAGATGCAATGATTCTAAAGACTGGATGAATACTGATTGTGTTACAGAACAGAACATGGCAAACTAGGTAAGGGAATCTCAAGTAATTAACCTGCTGTTTTTTAAGCACAACAGAGGTGCCTTGTTCGTACTGAACACTGCAATCTCTGCTATACACAAGCCTTTCCCTTCCTTCTTTGGATTGTGTGAGCTGAAATTGAAAATAAAGCAGGAAAAGGGTTCATATCTGAATCAGTAATCAACTAGTTAGTCATTCCCAAATTGAAAAAAAAATCATTACAGAGAAGGAAATACAAGACAAGGCAGTCCCCAAAAACTTCTTCCAGAATTCCTAAGGCATAGCAAGACCATGCAACATCACATGCTTCCCTCAGCCCCATGTACCTACACAGTTTTTCATTGCTACTACTGTACATTGCACCAGTGGGGCTGAAGGGGCTGCCAAGTCCAGAACCGGGGATGGTAGAGACCTGGACGTCAACAATAAGTCCGGCTCTTCCTCCCTACATGGGCTAGAAAGATTCAAGCATTCATAATCTGTTTACAAACATAAGTGAAGATTCAAAAGAAACTAACAAGGCCACAGGAAAGAACAAAAAAAAACCAACCCCAAACTCTGCTTCTTATACACCACTAACATTAGGAGGTATGGGTGAAAAAAGGTTATTTGTAAGACTTTTCAGACAGGCAGCCCATTTTAACTCTGAGCAACCATGTGCCCCAAGTGCTCATGCCTAGAGACTATTTTACTATGGCAGTGTCTACAGCGTAGCAGGCTGTTCCACCTCATACTGACAGGTCAGCCCTCCTCCCAGGGTATCAACACTTCTCATCTGCAACACTGGATGGCAGAGTTCCTGGGTCATGGCAAGAAGGGATGTACGAGTAGGTAAGGACTGTATCTATCAAAACTGCAGTTACTGATAAGCCCTCTGCAGTCAGTAGGGAACACAGACATGTCTGGAGGCCACCAGTAGAGCTTGAGCTTTGCAGCCAGGAAGGACAGCTCCACAGCAAGATACAGCACAAATCATTATCCAGTTAAAAACAGGTACAATGGTACGAGCAGCATAGGACCAGCCTCACTTCAGGCAAAAGCATCCAGCTAAGGTAAGATCCAGTCAACAGAGTTCAATTCAACAGCAAAGAACTCCGGTGATCAAGTCTGCTGCAGCTCAGAGGACTTCCTAGAGGTTTACCAAGACAGAACATATGTTTAAAAGATATTTAAGAGTCAAAATAATGTAGCCAAACTACTCATTTGAGATGCCTTTCAATTAAGGCATCAGGGGAACCTCACTCCTCTGTGGAAATGCAACTGGCATGGCAAATATCTTAAGAATATCTTGTGCCACCGAGAGTAACCTGCTTATCATTCTGTCCCCAAGTGTAGCTACCAAGCAGGACAGCCTGATGAACAAAAACCTTACGACATCTCACAGCAAACAACTTGGAATGCTCTCTTCTTGGAGTATCCCACAATATCTGAAACAAATGTAGGACTTCATATGTACTGTCACTGTTTGGGAGTGAGGCCCTCAGCAACATCTGTTTCAAGAATCTGGAAGAGAAGGGGTGCATTGGCTCTAATCCAGCTCTTACGCGTTGCAGTGACAATGCCACGTTAGCAGCCTACATATAAATCTGAAAGACAATCCTAGCTGAGCATGGGGTTGTTTGCTAGGCTTCTCCCTTGTAACTACAGGGAGCAGTGCCAAAATGCATGCCCCTGTGAGAAGCATTAGGAGATTAGCACATTGACACCACCTTGGAATAGGGCAAGAGGCTCTAATATAGACTCCAGGGCTGTCAGACTGCCCCCTGATCCCACTGATGATAAAACTACTGATGTGCTCCTCTCAAGCACTTGGATATTCACTTTGTCCTTCTCTTCCCCTTTGACCTGGAACCTGGCCCTGTTGCAGCCTGTCAGGAGCCAGGAGTCCAGACCAAGTCCCTGAAGCCAAGACCCACAGATCTGGAGGAGACTTGCTAAGGATGGGAACATCCAGAGAAGCAGCAACCAGTCTGGGAAATGATACAGCTTCCTCACACTGAAGTTGGGCAGAGATCCTCAGCCCTCCCAAGGGCACAGCACGGTCCAAGTTGGCAAAGCTAGTGCTCTCTTTGATGCATAGTGAGGACGTGTAGCATACACTGGGCCTTTTGGGCACTGGGTCTCCTACAAACAGTGTGCCAAGGTAACAACTCATCTGGTTTTAGGGATGCCTGTGAAACAGTCCAAGCGTGGACAGGCACCAGTATCACCAGAAAACAGAAGAGAAGAGAAGCACTCCTACACTGCACAGGTGTTTCCGAGGCCTTACAACACTCTCAGGCAAAAGTCCCACATCAGCAAGTCAGGAGTCCTCCACTTTTGTGATCTTCAGAGAACAAAAGCATCTGCTCTTTCAAGTTGCTACTTAACATTTTCATATGGCATAAATAAGTCAATGTTAAAAACAACAAAAAAAGGTTTGTTAGTTTCGAAAGGAAATACTTTTCTGCTGTTGATTTCAAAGACTCTCACGTGCCTAAATGGCGCCATGTAGCAACTGATAACTTAGAATTGAAACATAACTTTTCCACATTGTTCCCTTAACTTTAATTTACCAAAATTTAAGAAAACTTGGGAGAAAAAAAAAGCAGCACCACCAAAACACAACAAAACCCAACTAACCCTCACAACAAAACTCTCAATAAGCTCTACGGGGTATCACTAAATCAGATTTAAAAATGAGTAGGGGAAAAGGCAAAGAAAAGAATATGAAGAATGATTAGAAAGATCCAAAAAATAATATGAAGAGTGATTAGAAAGAGCCAGAAAAGAATATGAAGAACTATTAGACAGACCCAGAGATGTACTCTCCTCTTCACTAGGAATATCCAGCAAAGCCCTTTCCCCCACTCCTCTCAGCCACTCTAGTGCCAGAAGTACCAACCCAGGACAAAAGCCCAGTAGGTTCCTTGCAAACCTGAGAACTCTCCAGCTCTGCTACCTGTGGCCTCGGCAGACACAGCATTCTCGCTACCCTGCGTATCACCGCAAATTTATCTTTACATTTCATGACCGCGAAGAGGAGACATAAATTCTGCAACCAAAGCATTTGCGAGCACGGGGTGAGCGACGGTCACAAATTCCTACTGCTCCTGGTCTCTCTGCGAACCGAGTCGGGCCGAGCCCGTGCC